CAAACGATATTAGATAATAGGAGACAAAGTTCTAGAGAGATACAGAGAGCCATAGCTTAAGACAAACCCTAATTCCGAGATACCTCTAAACCTAATTTTAGAAAAGTTCAATTCAGATCTCTAGCTTAGATCGCGAAAACTGTAATTAAGCTAGAAGCCCTAGAAAATCTTGGGACAAACCTAGAAACCATAGATCTCATCTTTAGGCTTACCAATTTTAGTTCAAGACCTTCCAATGTGCAATCAAACCTCTAGTTAAATGTTCGATTCAAGCATATATTCGAGTTGGTAAAGATTCAGTTTAAGTTAATACAATTTGATCCATTCCCCAACTCTAAGTGTCGGACTTGTGGGCTTGGTTTAGTAAGCTTTCTTCTATTTTATTTATTTCAAATTTAGTTGATTTTAAGTCTTAGATTTCAATTTAGCATAAAATTTACTTTATTTCTCTTATTTCAAGTATTTTATAAAAAAAATTACTGATTTTGAGCTAGATCCGTCGAATGCTACTTGCATAAGAAAGAGACTATCGATCTTTGAATTGTAAATCTGTACTTGGTTGGACCCTAATCCTCTTTAGTTTTGAAGTTTATTTAACAGAGGTTAGATTATGAACTTGACTTTCTAGATTTAAGTATAGACACTTTGATTGAATACTTAGAAAAGAAAATTATGGAGAGATAAAGAACAAAGATATGGAGCAGCTATCTAAATGAAAAATTACTTCACCATGGTGTTCTTCGAGCCTAAGAATGCTAGATTCAAGGCAGCTTTGATCTTCTTTTACTTGATGCAAAATTTTGTCAAGGCAAAGCTTTGGAACAATTTTGATTCTCTTACTCTTCAGGTCGAAACGAAAAGCGACTTTAGAGCAATTTGAAGTTTATTAGAGCAGATAAACTTGCTATAACAACTCCCATGGCCTTTGACTATTCATCATTTAATCCAAAGGTGTTTCTTTGCTAAAAGTGCCACCAAAGAAGGAAGATGTGTTGCCTCGAAGTTATCTAACCACAAGTAACTAGGGTCTGAATTCATTTTTTTTTCAGAATTCTCACTGCAATTAGATGTTTCTGATTACATGATCCAAAACTTTGCATCTTGAGTCACTTCGATAATAATTTATTCATGTTCTGATCATTATTGATCAATATTCCACTGGAGAACATGATTCATCGATTAATTTATTCCATTGCATCTTCAAAGCATCATGACTTCCAGTAGCCTGACTCTTTGCAGTGGTAATGTGGTTTCTTGATTCGAAACTCATCACCCCAATTAAAATGTATCATGATTATCTAACCATCAACTTTTTAGAAGCCATTGTTGTGGTAGAAAATCCTTGGAGATGCAGGACCATGGAAAATTTAAGAGTTATTTCAAAAGATTAGGGAGTCTTTAGTAGACAAACATAACCTCTAATCTTTCACCGCTGTCCAGGACATCCAAGATCGTCAACAGTTAAAGTTCATCTCTTATAGGTTAATCTTCACCCAGAAAAATTCCATAATTAGAGTTTAACCATTAGGCATTTGAGTCATGCATTAGCAATCTTGATCTCTTCACAATGGTTTGGAGGCAAATGCGTTGCAAATTCCGGGACGCGAATACTTGAGCAGTGATCCTGAAATTGTATCTAACGGCATTCCATTCCAATAAAATTTTAACCATAAGCATTATGAGGCCAATCTTTGCTGTAACTTTCAACGAGCTGAATGTGAAGCTATTTCCATTTATTCCACCAATTTCCTACCCCACTTGGAGCTATTCCATCATGGTTTTGAGCTATGCACCAATCCTCTTATCGATGACATCAGCTAAATCGCGGTGGGTTTAAAAGTCTTGATGACTCAAAACACACCAAACAGTTGGAAAATGCATGCTCTACCCCAAACTCGATTGTTTGACTGTTTGTATTTGATTTACAGTTTAAATATATGATTTATTTTTCATAACCTTAATTTTAGCAAGTAACCAAAATGACCCATAAATCGAATACGAATTTGAGAATAAAAAATAGAATAAAATGCCAAATCTAGCGATCTTCAAGAAAAAGCAATAGGATGGGAATGCAAATTGAGGCATTGTTTGATACTCATCACCAATCAACTGTTTGTGCTTTGTGGAGAATAAAAAAGGAACTTCATGTTAGTAAAATAATAAAATACATAATTAAATAGATCATCAAATAAATTAAAAACTAATTACCCTCACAACTTGAAAAACAATAGAAGAATGTAAATAGAATGCATAGATAAATAAAAAACCCTTGCAGCTTCAAAAAATGCTAATTTTAAGCCCTAACCAAGTTTCCCGACCGACTTCAAATGCTAGAAATATAAAGTTTAGAGTTCCATTTGAATGCCATTCAAATGATATGTACCAAAAACCCAGGTTTTAAAATTAACTAAATAGAAGGTTTAAACCATACCCAAATTTAATTTACCTCTGAACCAAACAGAGTTGCATGTTTGACAACTAGAACATTTAACTCTATAAGCTAGAAGTTCTAGTGTAGTATAAGTTTTTCAATAGAAAGTGCTACAAGCAACCCGTTTTAGGAAGTTTTGAGTTCTAAACAATAAGAACCTGTAGCTTCCATCCCCTATGGAAGTTTGTTTATCCTATTTTCAGATTCTTTTGATATTTCTCTCTCTAACTTTATTTTCTATCTAAATGTGCCCTTTCTAACTCTTTTCTTTCATCGTCATTTTCTCTCTTTATGGGCCCTTTTCCCCCTCTAACCGTACCATCCTTTCTCTTTTATATGAAATTGTGATCTCTCTCTCACTGTACACATTCTCTCCGTCTCTATATGAAGTAGTGAAGCCTAGTAATTGTGAACTTTGTTAGATCTCTTTCCCCTTGAGTTCTTTCTCTAACCGTATCCATTTTTTCTCTCTATCGACTTCTTAAGCTCTCTCTATTGATTTTTTAAACCTAAAATTTGTTAGGAATTGGCTCAAGGCTAAGTGATCAGGATGATAAGGCGCTACAACTTGATATCTGGAGTTCCATTCCTCCTAAAAGTAGATGAGCATATCCCACTAAATTATAAAAAAAAAGCCTAATAAGTTCTTTCTCTAACCGTATCCATTTTCTCTCCCAATTGATTTCTGATGCTCTCTTTGTTGATGTTTTGAATCCTAAGCTTTGTTAGGAATTGTTTCAAGGCTAGGTGATCAGGATGATAGGACACTATCCGGAGTTCCATCCCTACTAAAAGTAGATGAGCACATCCCACTAAACTATAAAAAAAAAAAAAGAAGCCCAAAAAACAATAGTGAAGCCCAAAAAACAATAGTGAAGCCCAATCTTTGTACACGAGAACTTCCATATATGTTACCAAATAAATATTTTAAAAACTTCTAAGCATCAATAATTCTAGGAAAATTATCATAAATATACTTTAATTTTAGTCTATACTAGAAAAAAAAAAAAAAACCCAACTTTCATAAACTTCATTCACACAATTTTTCTTCAATTTTGGTCGTTTAGTGACTAAAATAAAAATAATCTTTACGATAATTGTATTACCGTAATAATTTGAATTAATATTATGGTACTTTAAATTAAAAACCTAAGCCACTTTAAATACCATAAAACCTCCACACCATTTTTCTTTAATTTTGGTCGTTTTGTGACTAAAATAAAAATAATTTTCATGGTAGTCGTATTACTATAATAATTTGAATTAATACTACGGTACTTTAAATTAAAACCTAAGCCATTTTAAATACCATAAAACCTAAGCCATATTATACGGTTTTTAAATTACGGCATTAATATTACCGTACTTTAAATTAAAACCTAAGCCACTTTAAATACCATAAAACCTAAGCCATATTATATGGTATTTTAAATTACAGTACTTTAAATACTGTAAAACCTCATAAAACCTAAATTAAAACCTAAGCCCCTTTAAATACCGTAAAACCTAAGTCATATTATATAGCATTTTAAATTACAATACTTTAAATAAAATAAACCTAAGCCATATTATATGGCATTTTAACTACGCGACATTAAATACTATAAAACCTCGTAAAACCTACAATATTATAGGCATACCGTATGGATATACATTAGATACATATCAATATGGATATCTATATATAGAGATATAAGGTTATTGGTGTTCATATCTCTTGATTATGATAAGATTTGGTATTTATCTGATGTATTTATATACAAGTAACAATTAAGGATAAATACATACCACCTAGGCATCTATATATAGAGATATATATTGATATGGTTGTTGGTGTTCATATCTCTTGATTATATGTAGAGATACATATTGATAAGGTTATTGGTGTTCATATCTCTTGATTATGATAAGATTTGGTATTTATGTGATGTATTTGTCCACCAGTAACAGTTAAGGATAAATATCATTAGTTATGGATAGATACTACCTAAATATAATACTACACAGCTAAAATGCCATATAATATGGCTTAGGTTTCATTGTATTTAAAGTACCGTAATTTAAAATGCCATAAAGTACTGTAATTTTAAATGTAGTATAATATTAATTTAAGTTATTATGGTAATACGACTATTGTGAAGGTTATTTTGGTCGTTTTAAAATATCGTATAATATTAATTTATGGTAATACGACTATCGTGAATGTTATTATGGTAATACGACTCCCGTAAAGATTATTTGGTCACAAAACAACCAAAATAGAAAAAAGTTCAAAAAATCTTTTTTTTTTTTTAAATTTTCGTTATGAAGGGAACACAACAGACATTCTAATAATAACAGAAACTATTTGATATTATGGTAATAGTAGAAACTACAACAGACATATATCTATAATTTTTTTTTCTTTAAATAAATAGAGGAGAAACTATAATGGATATATATATAATTTTTTTTTTGAAAAACTACAATGGGTATATATGTAAATTGTTTTTTCTAAATAAACAAAAATTAGGATATATTTGTGATTATTTCGCATGCTCCGAGAGAACTATAATTTCAAAGTTCCAAGGAATCAACGGCTTCCTGTTACGAAACGTGCCCTTGTTGATTTTGAAGTGGGTTGCAATGGGAAACCTTCTCGGCTAAGGAACGTGTTTCCGCGTTTCGCTGCACAGGGTCGTAGCTCCATGAAACTCCAACTCGCCGCTCAAAAGGAATAACCTTCTTCTGCTCATTCAAATTTACACATTCGAGCTTTGGTTGTCTTCCCGCACGCAGAGAGAGATTTGATATCAGACATGGATCATGGCGATCAAAACCAGATGAAATCAGAAGCGAAACAAGGAACCCATTCTGAAGATTACGCTCCTTACCCTAAATTGGATCCTAAAGATGTCGTGAATGAAAATCAAGGGGGGGGAGGTGGAAATTGGGGTACCTTTGTAATGGGGTCGAACCCTGAAGCTGAAACTAATGCTCCTTCTCCAAAAACAGTGACATGGAGCCCCCAATTATCGTCTGAAGCTCCTTCCTCCATCTCTGGATCTGCTCCGCCTGCTACACAGATGCCTATAGATTCGAACCCCTATGTTACACCTGCTCCTGCTTCTTCTAGCAAAAGTAAGATAGTCAAGTTTTACGTTTTCCTAGGGTTTCTTTTAGTATACGGCTTGTTGGTATGAATTGGTTTTTAGTAGGTTTGAATTGCTGTTTATTTTGTTTATTTTTTCTTCATTATTTCTTGCGATTGATGATGTTAAGATTAGGGTCACTGATTTTGACTTTTACATATTAAGTGGGTTTTCATTTTCGGGGTATTTGGTAGTTAATTTGGGTGTTTTTTTTTTAATTTAAATTTATTATTATTATTATTATTATTATTATTATTATTATTATTATTATTGCAGCTAAAATTGATGCCGTTAAAGACGTGCTTGGAAAATGGGGAAAGAAAGCTGGGGAAGCCACTAAAAAGGCTGAGGATCTTGCGGGCAATGTCTGGCAACACTGTAAGTTTCTAATCCTATTTCTCTTTCATCTTTTGGGTTGATAAAGTTGTATGAGATAATATCAAAAGAGAAAATTACAAATGAAAGTTTTGAGTACTCTGACTTGTAAAATGTTCTGATATGTAATGGTATTGCTCGCAATTTAGTAGATAGATTTGGGAATATTCCCATTTTGTAATTGTAAATGTTGAGTGTTTGGTAGTACTGCTTTTTGTTTAGGGATTTTCTATCCATTTGGCAGGTAAGAGCCGGTGTCCATACCATACATGCAAATTGTGACTCTTGTATAAGTCCGATTGTATTATCAAACAATTGGAATACTGCTAACTTGTACATTCATCACTGGTGTCTAGTAGGAATTGGAATTTTTTATTCTGTTTTTCTTTTTATCCTCATTCGTAATGTCATCATGGTTTATGTTGAAGATAATGCATGTTTACTTTGTTAAATGTCTAAATGGGTTGATTAAGGGAGTGGCTAAGGGATACCTTAAATAGCCATTAGAAGATCTCATTTCAGCTTGGATTATGATTTATGAAAACATTTTCTTCAGAATTTGTTCCACAGAAAGAACGTGTAAATTCTTTCCAAGAAGATTTTTTCCTTTAAGGCTGTGATGATTCATTATTATTCTTGAAAGCATGTTGCTGCAAATATTTGGAAATAGATGTAAGTTCATTTTGGTAATGGACGCAGTTGTTCAAGTCCTTCTTTACAAAAGTTGCATCTTAAAGGCAATCAAATAGCCTTTTCAATATATTGAAAAGGTAATTGGATAAATACAGATGTCAAGGTTGCAATTTTTCATACATGTGCAACCCTACAAGGACCTTCTGGGCAAAATCCCAACCCCTCAACCCCTTATGATAAGGAGTGTTTTTGGTGGAACCTGGAAGAAAATGAAACTCTGATTTCTTGGAGAAATTTCATAGTGCATATATTTTTTTTAATGCCCCTTGGAGAAGCTCCGAGCTATGCGGATTCACAATGATTGAAGTTTGGAAATATTGTTAAGAGTTGATGTTTTTAATGCTTCTGAAATTATCTTTTGTGACTCTTTCTTTGTTAAGACGAAGCCTTACATGTTTGCAAATTATTTCGGATTCATCAATCTTTGTTGCATCATTTTATGACGCGTATTCAAATTGATGGCTATTGAATTGAAACCCAACAAACACACAGAGCTTTCTTTGAAGGAGTGAATATTATCGACCATGACTTATTCATCACAGACTGAGTTATTCTCTTGGAGAACATCCTGAAGAGGGTTTTCTTTCTTTTGAAGCTGGAATGACTTGATCTTTTGAACAGGTTGATTCGGATTTTGTATCATATCAACTCAATAATTCTAGTTTTCATGGAAAATTCTATTAATTGGTTGGATTGTTCACTACCAGCCCTTGATACCCTCTATGTATTATGACACTCCAATGACTACCATGGAAGGCTTGAACAGGTTTGCTACATTGTGTATCACATTTATGGGAAGCTTGAGTGAATCATATTTCAATGTTATGATCAAGCCGCATCATATCTGTTGTACGCATATGCTCTTATCACCTCTTGGAAAGCAGACCAGTGGAATTGTGATAGTGTAATGACCTCGTCAAACCTTTCAGGATGAATCAAGTCAGGAGATCGATCTACCTAAAAGCTTCTTTCTTTTCTATGGATCCATGCAGAGGAAGAATTTATTTGAAATCTTTGCTAGGATATCCAGAATGTTACCTCCCATCCATCTATCGCTTACTGCATTCACCGAGGGTAAACCAAATTTATGGAATCGCTCTTAGACAATATTTTAAAACTCAGGGGATGGACTAAAAGCTTTAAACATGTACTAGATGTTTAACCCATCCTAGATCAGTTGCAAGCACGATTCCCCTATGTTGGTATTTGGAATTTGAACGCTCTAAACCTCTGGGCCCAAATATTATTTGCTGAGAAACTGAAAAAAATCTCAAGGACTTCTTATGCGATGAAGATAATGATGTAAATGACATTCACTTAATCAAATAGCTGATTATGTAGGTCTGTGGACGGTGTGGTTGGCATTTAAAAAAAAAAAAATCTGAGTATCCCATATTGTTTAAGTAGAATGAACTTTGGTTTCTGGAAAAATTTCACTTTTGGTCTTCTGTGAATAATGTCGGGTATACAACAAGAATTCCTATTGTGAACCATAATGTCCCTTCTTTCTCTTCGGTTTGGAATTGGGTTTGTAAAATATATTGTTAGTCAAAGAGGAAGTCATTGGTTAATGAACTACCTGAGGAACATACTTTTATATAATCCTTGTCTCATGGATGGTTCTTTTATTGATCATTTTGTGTCTTTGAGTATGGAATGTTATATTGAAGTCACGAAGTCCAGGAAAAGGTGTCTTGGTTACTTGTCTCAAATTAGATTTAGACTAAGTCAGGTGGAAGTTAATAGAAGGGTATCAAATCTTGAAAAGCAGTTTTAAAGATGAGCTTATTTAAATATGAGGAAATGATGGGAATTTTTCTGCCACATCTTTGGGGTCGTATTCGGACCAGATTCCAAAACATTTTATTTGCTGTTGTTAAATAGAGTCTTTCCCTAAGTATCTATATCTACCTTGCTGGCATAGCATGGTAGGCCCACATCAGATGATCTGCAAAGTATGGGTATTTTGCAGTTAAAGGATGGTCTCTTTTCATCTTTCTAATTTTTCTTTTTCGCATGACAGCAGGAAAGTTGTTCTTCTATATTGCGGCTTGTACTTTTTCTTCTATTGAAATTGTCTTTCTAATCTTGATTGTGATCAGCAGCTCCTCTTTAGCTGCATTCTTTTTACTTGCATCATTTGATAGTCCATTGATACCAAATTTTATTCGCTTTACATTATAAATAGGTTGTCAAAGATGAATTATAATTTTGGTCTAAAATTACTTTTGAGAAGGTGATGTTAGATTGGTTTGATGGATTTCTTGTTATGATATTTGAAGACTCGAAGGAAACTATCGTTTTAAAGAGATAGCACCATGTGGGGAAAGGGGAATGTGGATTTCTCAACTCTCCCCATGAATTCAAATAGTTTTAATGCATGCGACTGTGCAATTTTGGAATGATGCAATATTCTTCAACCACTATGAAGGAAACCTTATGGGAAATTGTAGCTTTAGTCACGTCAAATTTAAGCTGATGGTAAATGCGTCTTCCAATAACAATTGCTCCAGATTTGATTGGATTTTTTTTTGAAATTGTGGAAATATTTATCTCAGGTAGGGAAAAATCGATAACTCCATATTTGCACATTTTATGATTCCTTGTTAAGTTTTCAATTTGCCTTTTTTCACAGTGTCCTCCATTCCATGTGTCCTACTACTAGTACTAAACAAGCTCTAAAGTAATAACTGCTTACGAGAGGAGATTCGAGCACTGAGCAGAATCATACCCAGGACTCTGTACTGCTTTTGACTCCTAAGGTACCTATTGTATCTGAGTGGATTGAGGTGGTGCGCATTTGTGGATAGATCGATTGGAGAGGTACAAGGCTTGCTAGTAGTTGAGGAGATAAGAAGGCAGGATTGAACTCATACGGCGCCCTTCCTTTCCTGTGAGTCGACTCCATTGAGAGATGGATAGATAGCCATACCTTTGAAGTGCAGCCTCTCAATCCTGATCATTCCCTAGCCCATTTGTTTTCCCGACTCTCGTTCCCGAGGGGATCGAGCTCGAAGAATGGGCGGGCTATTCATTAGAATATGGATGGTGGGACTCTTTATGAAATGTAATAATTTTCCATGCATTCGGACTTCAACTTCGCCCATTCTTTCCTCTTAACTCTCCTGAGAAAGAAGTGGTGAGGGCAGGGGTAGGTGGCAAAGAGGAGTAGGGAGCGCATGGTATTAAGTTCACAACTATATGGATTCTTTTATCTTTTACTGTTCTTAGAAGTTATTGTTTTATATTAGATGGATGTATGATCATCCATTTCTTAGTGGGGATGTTGCTAAGGAGATCTTTATGCAGCTGCCTTGGGTTTTCTTATGGACTCCTTTTAAGTCTTACAACTAAAGAAAGCTTTATGTTTCCCCTATAAACCCAGTGCTTGTTTAGAGTATTTCTTGGCTGCAATGCTAATTGGGAGGTTTTATCATTGTACTACAGACTAATAAGTGTTTGGCAGATATTCGACCAACCAGATTCATGTACTTTTGGTTTATATAAATTGTGTATTGATTATTTGTGATGATGAGCCTTCCAAATCCAGATACCCGTTCTTAAGAAGAGTTTCAGCATGAGTTTCCAATGTGGGAATGCTATTACATACTCGAGAGATCAGTGTTATATATTCTACAAATAGCACCTTTATGACTTGATAGAGGTACATGCCAATGCTAACTACTTGCGCATTGTATGGCGATTGGTATGCCCATGAAGCTCACATGTGATTTTTTAGCTGGTGATGGTGAGATACTTAAATATGAGCCTTCTGGCATGTATAAATACTTCATTGGTGGAGTTTTGCATCTGACTATCACCATTTCGGTCAAATTTCATTGAGGCCAAAGTGTCCTGCCCCAGGACCCCTCACACCGTAGATGTTCATCATTTTCTTAGATATATCAAATTTATATTGTGGACTTGTTCTATCTTTGTCTTTGAATCGTTAGCAGACAAAGTGTTGATTTAATCTCGATGGGACATCTTGATACAAGATGGTTCACAACTAACTTCTGTATAATTCTAGGTGAGGTTCTTATTTTATACTACAAGTCATTGTGTGCAAGTCAAATGTAGGCTGAATACAGAGCGGTATCTGTTGCGAATTGCTAGTAATGAGAGTGTGAACTTGGTGTCTTTTGATAGATCTTGTGGTTCTGATCTGGGGGAGATAAGATTTGTACTAGTTGCGTGGCTTATGTTCCTGTATTGCATGACAGGTCAATTCTTATATTTCACTAGAATTTGCCAAAAAATCACCTGCCTCACCCATCACCAACCTGAAATCCACCATCTCCTCCATGGAA